TTTTTTTGAACTAAAAATAATATTGGTCTATTTTTTAATTTTTAATACTCGTGTACCGAAAACGATATTATTGATATCAATATATACAAATTAAGTTTCAAAAGAACAATTTTTTATGTTATAAACATATTTTTGATATCAATATATACAAATTATATGCTATGTAAAAACAATTAAATCAGGTACAAACTTTTTTAAATTTTCTATTGTTATTACAATTTACTTTTCTTTTCGCAGCGGAACGATCACATTTAATTAAATTGCTCAAAAATTTCAATCTAATCCATACACGTTGCTTTACGTACTGTACCTGTACGTGTATGTCTTCTGGCAAGTTAATTGTCTGTTTAATTAATGATGTAATAGATGAAACCGTTTTACATTTCAAATGCACTTTCACAGTTTTTGTAAAAATTGATTCCATTTTTGTTTAACTAAATTAAAGAAATTTGGTTGTGACAGTCCACCAAAAGATAAATCCTGAACAAGGGACATAATTGTATAATTATGTTCATTTTTATTTTGGTGACTGACACTTCCTAAATTTGGATTTTTTTTTTTTTTTTTTTGTATTTTCTCGCAATTCACCCTGCTAAATATTGTAATCCATCATTTTTTAATTCATCTAATTCATTGTTTTTTAATTCTACATTTTCCTGAGATATATCTCATAAATCATCATCATTTACATTGCATGAATTTTCAGATATTCCTTGCTCTTTAGAACTAGACATATCTGAAACTTCTTGCAGTAAATCTGCCTCTTCAAACATTTCATTTATTAAATAATTTTCAGCTATCTGATCTTCTGTGTTTAATTTATTTTGCAATATTCCTGGTGATTTGCCTAAAATTATCATTCTTACTCTATATATTACTTCAAGTGGACTAGGATGATCATTTAAACCACCTCTAGTTCGAATCTGTGAAAATAGATTTTCTAAAGAATCCTGATTTACTTTACATGTTAAGATATAATGGCATTTAGGAAATTTTGAACTAAAGTCGAAAAATAAATCTTTAATAGATTTAATAGATATAAGCATTCCTTTTTGAAATGTTTGAAGTGATTTTTTAGATACACATCTCATACTTTCAATTATTCTGTAAGTACTGTATTATCAAGTATATTATTTTGTTCTTGTTAATGCCATAAGCACATTTCGAGGGATAATCAATTTTGTAATGAAAATTGGGTGTTGAACTATTCATAACATTAAACCATGCATTAATCAATGATATAAATTCAGAAGCTGCTAAGGCATTTTCAGTTTTAATATATCTTTTAATAGCAATAGCTGTAGAATTAGAAAATAATTCACGAGCTAACCTAACATTTTGTCGTTGAAATTTTTGACATGTAATATGCTCTTCTTTTAATTTATGGCAAACTTTTATTTCATTGGAATCTATTTGAAGTAACTTGTAATGAGTCTTTGTTTATTAATGTATGATCTGAAGTTAGAAAACCTGTATCTAAAAATCAATTTCTAATGAATTTTAACAAATGAGGTGCATCTGGAAAATAGTATATATTATTTCCATTAGATGGATGTATAAATTTAGTATTGAATATATTTATTCCTAATTCCTTCCATAATCTTATATTTTGTCCACCGCAGTCACTAACAACAGCAACAACAGTATATCCTGCATCAAAAAGTCTTGAAATAACAGTAAATAAAAGTTGTTTTTTCATTTTAACATCAAAATCCATGTAAACTGGTTGTTTCCATTATGCAAATAGTCCTCGTGCCATCATTACTAAAACTTGATTTTTGGGTCCAATAACTTTATTCCTCACTTTATCATATTCATATATACGCTTTACCTGAAATATCAGTAAAATGTTAAAACAGAAAATTAAAATAATTATTGAATTATGTGGTTTTATCAATATGAGCACAGTATATATAGTATTTACTTTCATCTCATCAAACTGAAGAACTGTAAGTTTTTCTTCTTCTGAAAGTTCAAAGCCTTTAATTTTCATGATGTTTATAACATCATTTAATATGCCTTGACAAAGATTTATTTTTGAAGCCCATCGTTGAAGTGTCGAAACTGCAGGTAACGGGATATTCATTTGATTTCTTAAGTATAAATATGATCTTATGCTTAAATATCTCAAAGTAAATGCCAAATTCATATCTTCTTTCTTCCATTTAATTTTCTTTTTTCTCTCCAGCAGATTATATATTTGTGTTTCTGTAAAGGTACCTTTCAATATTGATATAACAAAATCTTTTTTATTTTTTTCATTTATTTTTTTCAATTTTTCATGTTCTTTTTGAAGGATGACAGTTTTACTTTTCCAAAATTTCAGATCTCTTTGGATTGCTTGCATTCTTATCTCAATATGTTTAATCTTCATATTTAAAATAGAATTTTCATGTTTTAATTTAAAATTAAGATCTTCTAAAGTTTTACAATTGTTACATTTGTTAAGAGATTCCTCTCCTTTATCCTGTTTATTTACATCTAAGAGTTTTTCTATCAGATTTTTTCTATTTCTTTTTAATACACGATTCTTTCTTTCATTTGACTGCTTAATATTTTTATTTTCTATGTTTCCTAAATTTACTGTTGGTAGTGAAG